TTTTTCAGACACATCAGAGGAGTGAACACCACTTTCTGAGGGTTGTAGTATGGGCTTTCTGTCACTGTGTCAGTTAGCTAGGAGGGAAGAGTTATTTGAGGTTTATTAAAAGATAGAAATTGGTAAGTTTTCCCAAATTTGTTTTGTAAGTATTAGCTTTTACTGATCATACCATACTTTATTTTATGTGATATTGGTATATTATGTGAAAGTGGTATTGGCTTATTTATGAATGGCAGCATTGCTGCAAATTTAATGTAACAAAAATTAAAAACTTATTTTGTTATGAATCCAAAGTCTTTATAAAGTTTTGTTGTAATAATCAACCATTTAAACTGCAGCAAGAAATTTTAATAGCAAAAATGGAAAAGATAATTGGACAAAGTGTTAATGTGTTAACATATAGTTACATCAAAATGCCTTAATTATATTTTTATTTATTTACCTTAAACACCAGAGATGCCTTCTTAATGTACCCTCCCAGAGAAAGCACCAGCAGGTCCTTCTTCTTCTTCAAGTTAAGCTCCTCCTCCTCTTCTTTAGCCTCCTCCTCTGTGGCTGTTGCCGGGGCAACCCAGGACCATGCCCATGAAGACCAACTCTCCTCAGCAGAGCCCTCTGGTGGTGTTTCCTGGGAGGTCTCTGTAAAAATACAGCTTTTGGAGTTTGACCCAGTTATCATTATTATTTTATAATACATCATGAAAGAAATATGAGCTTAAGTTCAACTAGTGGCTGTGGGATGTACTAGTAATGGTATATCAATTTTTTATAACTGAACTAGAATCACATTTTTCTTTGTGAAGCTAAAAAGTTCCTTTAGACAAACAACACTGCATCAATATTTTGTTCTGGTTTATAAACTTATTGCTGATGGATTGGAATAACATATCTTATTGCATAACCTTCCCCCCCCCCAAAAAAAAAATTGATAAACAGATAAAAAATAAATAAATAATATTTAAAAACATTGTAAACAAACATTAACCATCACAGCAAGAATTCAATTTTGCCTCACCATTCTGAACTCCTGACATATCAGCCTGACTCTCAGTTTCACTGTTTTCGCGATTCTCGTCTGCAGAACCTGACGGCCCAGATGGCAGTTCCAGCGTGCCATAGTAGAGTGCCAAGACAAGCTCGATGAGACGAAGAAACATCGGTAGCTGGGTGTCTGTGAGAGAGAAATCCAGTTTCTCGCACATAATGTGTAACATGGTGGTGGTGGGAATCTTGGCGTGGAGACTGTCATAGGTCATGTGGATCCTGTAATGAGGGCGAATTTCATTCGTTTAGTAAATTTTTCTAACATAACATTTTTAATCTGCACAAAATGACGGTTTCTAATATTAATTCTGTAAGTAGTATTAAAGGTGAACAAAAAAAGCTGAAGAAAAATTGCCACATATCACTATTAGATATATTTCTGTGTAGCTTTTATTGAATCAAGAATTTTCTAATTGATGAAAATTGAAAAAAAAATATTAAAAACAAAGCTGGTATTTACCTGCACATCACGGAGCACCTGTAGACCAAGGGGTCCTGATATGTCTCAATCTTTCCACTAGCATTCCTTTTATCCAAACATGCCGTCAAATCATGGAAATTAATCACCCTCCTCAGCACCAAATCTGGCTGCGCTAAATCCACAAATGCTCTCAGCCAATCACCATCCACGCTATACACTTCTGCAGACTTGACATTCACTGACAGAACAATGTCGTCTTCAACAAATTTCAAGATGAGGTTGTTGATGACGATGTTGACATTGTTGATGATTCTGTTCAGGATGCTTTGGAGATAGCCCGGAGGCAGGGCCTCTGCCTCCTGCAGCTGCTTGGCTTTAATTTTTGCTTTCTTCTGGGCGAGTTGTTTACTTGAGGCACTTGACTTCATGCTGGAGGCCTCCTCAGGGGTAGAGTCCTGGTTCAAAGAATTCAAGATGAAAAACATTATATTTTCTAAATGACGTGAAATTCTAAATTACATAAATTACCTGCCGAGAAAACACTTCTGCCATGATATACAATGAAACTGTTATAAAAAGATGTTTAAGTTTTACAGTTTTTTCCTTTTCAAATGAAGATGGACTGATTTCAGGGGAATCATTTCTCAAACACAGCTTTTTAATATTGCCTTCTTTTAAACAAATTCATGAACAAAACACACAAAACAATGCAGCTTTTTGTTTCAAAATCCAAATAATTCTTCTCCTCCCCCAGCCCCAGCCCACTTTCTCATATCATTGTCCCCTCACCTTTATTTTCAATATACACTCCATTGTGTTAATGGTGACAACCACTGGCTCAGACCCAAGTCGTGTCCATGGCACGTGAATTCGTAGCTCGTGTATTTGACCACTGACAAAGGTAACGGGGAGGTGAATCATGCGCTCCAGTTTGTTCGTACGCAGCTCCAGCTTGTTAAGCACGATATCTCCTCCCCAGAGGGATAACTGGAAATCTTCTGGTTTAAGCTTAACATATTTATCCAGGTATCCTAGCAACCAGGGAGTTATGTAGGATTCTAGTTTAAACATGACTGCTTACTATTTCATGGAAACTGAAAAATACAAAAGTGGAATTTTTAATGAGTTATTTTAACATCAGCTATTTAATTTAATTAAGTTACAGGCCTAACTAATAACCTTGTTTATTTGTAATTAATTGGTCCATACTCTTATCTTAAAGGTGTGCGTTAAATTTTTAGGAACTGGTGATACAGACATTTCTTTCTAATGCATATTTTATAACATTTTAGCTGTTACAGTACAAATGATAAATGTTATTACAAAAGAGGTTTATTTTAGGTTAAAATGTAGCAAGTTTATGTCTCAGTCAAACCAGATGGTTAAAGGAAAATGTTAAATAATCATCATCAAAAAAAAAAAAAAATAATAATAATAAATAAATAAATAAATAAATAAATAAATAAATAAATAAATAAAAATAATAAAATGAATGACTGTTCAAAATCTCAATCAGTCATGAATTATGTTACTTGGCTAAAATAACATTGACATATGAAACAAAACAGCCTGAAAGTTTTATTCATACTACTATTACTAGCTAACAATATCTTAGAGCTGAACACTGTTTTAAAAATCACTTTTTGTGAACAGCAAAATGTCGACTAAATTTAAAGTCAAGCATGAAACTGTCATTTAGTAAAATATCGGAAATGTGGCGTAGGGACCAGGGGGCTGCCTAGGCCAATGATATTTTGGGCTCCCAAAAAGTTAGAAATCCGCCAATAGTCGAAAAATATATGGTGTCGAATGGCATGCCCTGGTTCGCGTTAGGAGTAACATCGTAGTAAGGTAAGTAGAACTTCACCGTGTTGTTTAAATGTGAAAAGAACAAAAACCTACTTAAAATTGAATGTATTTTTAAAGATATGTACGTACCTTAGTATCTCGTTGGGTTTCAGAGTTATTGCATGCTAATTCACACAGCGAGCAACATTTTGTTTCCTCGTGAGCCACAACCCGGGTGCCAACACAGCGCCCGCCATTTTTGTTTTGGTGGGCTTTTACGAAAACCAAGACTGTCAAATAGTCAATTTCAACAGTAACACGTACGCTTAAACAAATTATTAATTTTCTTTGTTGCAAATATACTATTGTGAGTTGTAAATATAGGATATT